TTTAAATATGGCATATATAAGTATGCATACATAAACATATATATATATGTATATAATCATGCATACCCACGTAGGTACATTTCATTACTGCACATGATTTTACATACAATTATAAACATATATATATATCTATTGTAGCATCCGGCAACAGCTTATGCCTTTTTTGTGCAGTTAACATATGTATCTAGGCATTTGTAGACGTTCCAAACTAAATAAATAAATAAATAAATGGTATATTCTATGGTATATTCCTATTTCCTTAGCACTTCGCAACATATTTGACCTACCAGCACAGCATTAGCACAACTAAATAATCCGGTTCACCAACAACAAGCATAAATGCTATTCAGTGCCCGCTTATTTCCAAGTTCCCAGTTATATACACATCGGTACGGTAATAGAAACTGTCTGCTATCATCTTTGAACATCTTATTCTGTATTTCACCAACCATCCACATAGTGATGCCTTTGTCGTCGCAGTTACCCCTTTCGCACTTAATCAGCTTTACCAAACTGCGTTTACTTGCAGCTTACCTTCAAAGCATCACCACCAGGAGGTACAACTGCACACCGGGTATGCAGCACAAACCCAAATGGATTAGCCCTGGAGGCATGTGCAGGGGTGCAAATTTCATCAGTGGAGGCGGCCCACACTGCTCCAAAGGGGAACAAGAGCAATTTGTATTAAGTGGATTGAAGCGCACGGAATGCGCATGCTGAGCGGTGCTGCGTTCCAGGCGTATGGCACGGAAGCAATGTTGGAGGGTGACACATACATCACGCCGGTGCTACCCTTCCCTTCTAGCAAGAACCAAATATCGGTGTATAAAATGCAAACTTCCCTAACAGGTAGGCAAGTGTGCAATTAATGGCAAGGCATAGAAAGGTAGCATGCATAGGGAACACGAGATCTGCACGCCGATGGAGTGAACTTGTGAAGACCTTTGAACGCACTTAGGTAGGCACTTAGGTAGGGTAAATGAGGCTGTCATGTGGGCATGCTGATTAACGCCATAGTTGTAGCAATGGCTGACGGCCGACGTATACGGTGTCAAGGCTACTGCGACGATACTCACATTGAGATGGTTGATGTTACGGTTACCCAAAGGGGAAACGTGACGTACAAAATATAGATATACACCTTATGCCTGTCGGTTTATAGCAATGGTAAAGTGGAACAGTCTTTGGGGGGGGAGAATGCACGCGGCAATTAGGAGTGTGACGTGCACAAGATGTTACTAACCTGTGCTATTGCAAGCCGTTTCATTGACGTTGATGCCTCAACTTTGGTAAGCGAAATGGTACTCTGGCAGCCGTGTACCGCAAGCCTCGTTGCTTCAGATACATGTTGACGTTATTCTTCAATGGGGGAAAATGAAATGGCTTTATAAATGCAGCACAAAAAGTTGATGCACCGGTGACGTATGATGTTTTAACCCATCGCAAATGTTCTCGACTTCGCGGGTGAGCTGCTTAACGGCTGGTTACCCTTGAAGCTAGAACACTGAGAAAGGATTTGTGTATACTTTACAAGGTACCAACAATGGTGAGACCCAGCATTAATTACGGTGTTTGGTAGTTACTTATCTTTTTGGCGTAAGGGAACTGACGGTGCGGGGTTGCCTTAACGTACCGTTTACCGCTTGCGGATCCAGGTAGATGTGGTCGTTGAAAGGAACCTTGTACACTGAAACCTTCCGTGCCTCAGTGAGGTACCGCAGCCGTCCAATGTGAGGAACGTTAGCAGGGTAAGTAAAACAAACGATGCATGAGGATAAATGCATGATGCACGCAACGGAGATAAAAGGGCTTCGTGAAGCATCTGATGGCATGGCATGACATGACAAGGCGGATGCGATACCTTGGATGAGGCACAATTGCGCCGTTAGGTTGGAAGTCAATAAGAGGCACGGGTAAGCGGAGAATGCATTGCAGCACTAACCGTCAACCTTTGGAGTGGCTACATTCCGCGCCGGCCACTGAGCGCTCTACTTCGTGGATTGTCCACTTGCATCCACCCGCTCGCTTAGAAGTCTAAAGTGAAATGAAACTGCGGAACTTAAATAAAGCCGCGTGACCTGATACTGTTCCTCCAACCCTCTTCAAATTCGGCGACCTGCTGTTGAGGATGGTTTACACGAGTTACTAGTCCAACTGTTGTAGCAGAAAGCTGTACTAACGTATTACAGCCTCTCCGTCCTAGACCCAATTTGCAAATGAGGCTAACTATCGTAATGCCGCAGACATAGAGGAATCAGTGTGACCTCCATTGCCTCCAAACTGCTTGCCTCTGCCACCTTTGCAACGCGTGGAAAAGGGGCCTGCATAAGGAATAGGAGATTTGCACGCCGACTGAGGGAACTTATGAAGACCCTTGAACGCAGTAATAAAGAGCACATAGGAAGGGTACATGTGTATGTATTGTCGGAAGTGTCCTTAACGCAATAGTTGTAGCAGTGGATTACTGCGGACGTGTATGCCGTAATGGCTATTGCAACGATGCGCATCGTGAGATGGTAAATGTTACTGTTACCCAAACATGTTACGAGGAATCGTGACGTACAATACATAGATATATACGCTGAAATTAGTCCCTGTAGCGAACATTATGCCCGTCGGTGTATACCTGCTAAAGTGGAACAGTTTATGGGGGGGGAGAATGCACGCGGAAAGCAGGAGTGTGACGTGCACAAGATGTTACTAACCTGTGATATGGCAAGGCGTTGCAATGATGTTGAGGCCTCCACTCTGATAAATGTGAGGACCACCTACCCGAGGCCAATCTCCGCTCCTCTACACCATTGCACGCCACTCCACTACGCGCTGATGATGTCACCTCAGTTGGTGACGAACCGTTTGCAGCAAAATTGCCAAGCTCAGCCAACAGTTCGACCACCATCTGAACAACCTGGGCTACCATCCTTCAATTCTACAGTCTGAGGTGCCTGCGGGAGGTTACCGTGGTGCTATCTAACGACATCCATGTAGTATGTCCTCCGCGGAATGTCCGTGCAGCGCCGCCACGTAACATATGTGCGCCCATGGGAGCCGCCACTGCCGACTAAACTCGCAATCGCATTCACTGCCGCATGTTATGTTTACCCGGCGCAGTTTTGAATGAGGAAACGTAACTAACCAATAAGGCTCATCAGACAGACAACCCAGAACGGTTGGTGCAAGTAAATGGGCTATGAGGACATTCCCTGCGAAATCGCTCGGCTGTGCGAAAATCGAAGCCACTGAGTTCACCTCCGCTGGAACAGAAACTGTGCTCATGCACCACCTAGCTCTTATGCTGTTTATTTCGTGCACAACACTGCTTACCCTATCAAGCAAGCAGGTGAACAGAGTGAGCAAGGATGACCCCTCCGACAAATACTCCTTAATATGCTTGTTCTCATTCTCCACCCTGTTTGTTGTGTGGCATCCAAAAAGCACAGCATCCCTTTGTCTGTGAGCCGCCCAAGAGTCTGCGTGTTGGAGCCACCTTGCGCACGAATGCCGATAGCATCCCGGATTCGCACGTCGCACCGCGTTCAATAATCTTTCAAATAGGGACGCATCACCAGTATATATCAGGTTATGGAGCCACTCGCGTACTTGCATTCGGAGAGCATCTGAGATACCACGTATGCGACCGCAACATCTAGCCTTGTCCACTTTAACATGGTACTGGCAAAACGCGACTTTAGCTTTGGGATAAAAACGTCGAAACGCACGCAACTGAGCAACACTTTTATCCACCACCACCGTGCGTCAATGTCTGCTGCTTGGCACCATCTCCCGCATCACCTCCACCGCTTGCCCATAGCTACAGGACGTCTCATCAGGTAATAGGGCGTAGAAGAAGGAAATCCCTAAACCTGTTACATCCACGAACATGCAGTGCCATAAAATGTACGCACCATAATTTAACTGGTGCGTCGTATCGTACAATAAAACCTCGACATAAGGCTTAACCACGTCACGGACTACAGATGGAGAGAAGAATACACAACGTATCTGGCTACCCTCAGACATCAGTCGACAAACACCGTGCCCTCCCAACATCTTTGCCACCTCTGACACTTCACATGAGGTCCTGTTTCGATGACGAATGCGCAGATTACCCATCCATACGGTTACATGTTAGCAGTACTCCTGATAGATGAAGCGACTCAAATCCCGCGTGCTATGAAATCTGTCCATCAAACGCAGAACCTCCTTCTCCTGCCGCGGTGACAGCCGACCGTTCCGTGCATACAGCCTGGCGTTACCCAAGTGAAAGTCATGACTATAGATCATAAACTAACATCCCACGACATACTTACCCCCTTTCACAACCACCGAGAATCGAGCCTTGCATTGTAGGATTTGTATCTACATGCTTTAGTTCCCTGTTGCATAAATATTAACTCCTCGCTTGCCACGCGATCCTGAACGTTCACAATGTACGCAACGGTACAGGGTGTAACGATAGCCGTCCGCATCAGGCAAATGTTTCCGTCTTCCACGGTGGTACGCCGCAGCAGACGCTGATGAAACTCGGTAAAAACAAGTTACCGTTTCAATCCGAAAACGTCCCAATTTCTCCTAAATATCTTCAACCATTTCATACTTCCCTATGACCAAACACTTGAACTGCTCACTAACATCCACAGCCATAGCGGTAGCAGAGAAACAAGTAAGGTTACCGAAATAATAAAACAAACATCATACATATGCACCCTCACCGGTAAATATTTCTATGTTCTCATAATTTACACACAATCCCATTCCCTCCACTCCTTCCAGCTGTTTACGGCTAATTGCACAGTCATTTCCTTGGCATCGTCGCTAGGTAACGTCGTTGCTATGTACCATTTGTACCACGAGACGTCCTAAAGCAACCCAATTTTTTCATAGTGCAATCAAACGGCCCTCAGTCCCGCCTGAACCTGAACTTGAATTTAAACCTGAAGCTTTCGTCCTTGAAACTTGACCGTATCTGACCTTGAGTGTGCCGAAGGTTTCGTTCAGGAATGGACTCGAAAGCAGCTTACGGCGTTTTAGAACGGAAAATAGATTTGACGATTGAGAGATTAGACCAAATGTTACTTCAAATTAGCGGATATAAGCCGTTGCTTGAGCACAACGCTCACTGTGCAGAATCTGAGATAAAGGCGAACTTCGATGGGTTGATCGAAGCTCTCACACAGCGACGTTTGTTGCTCACTACTCAACTGCGCAGGGTTTGTGAAGAGAAGTTGACATTAATAGCCAAGTTAGTCACATTCACTGCTAACTTTTTGTTTTAGCCAAAAGCAGGCTGTTGAGAGTCTTCGCTCTGGCATCATTTCTTGCATACCCAATCGTTACTCCTCCGACTCTCGCATTCACGACTTCTTAGCTCGGTAGTTTGAACACTTTTCTTACCGATTTATAGGGCTGAATCTGCTGCTTTTAGCTCCAGCTCGGCTCCATTTGTGTCCTTTAGGAGTGAACGATCCATCTTACCCCAGGCGATTGCCAACTACGGCAAAGTGATTTCTCGCTATTGCGGCCACTTTGCGGATCCAGGCCAGCCGTCCTCTTGTCTTCCTCTTGCTTTTGAAGAGGAAGATGACCACGAGCTTCCTCATAACTGTGAGAGCTCTTGTGAGTGCCTCAAGTCCACTGTGCGGCAGGTTCCCCAAAACCTTTGTCAGCGCAAGTCTCACGGGAAGCCATGTAACGACAATGACGGAAATAAGTCCGCGGCCTCTTTGTTTAACTCAAAATCAAACTCGGAACCGCTGACTGGCTCTCCAGTGGTAAGTCACCACAAAATGCTACATCCACGTAAAACCAGCCTTTGAATTTTTAAGATGAACTTGGCTCCTCTGTTTTGCCTTTTAACCTTTTAAATGAATGTGCCTTTGTTGCGCATGTGGCTACCTTTATGGCCAGTTTTTGTAATTTAACGAGTTCTAACGGCCATTGACTAATAATTTCTAGACCCCTCCACCCCACAATTTCAGAGGGAATGAATTTGTTACTTTGAAATTCTATTCGTCTGTTAGAGACTAGGTGACATTCAAGCGAATCGGTATCATGTGTTTTCTGTGGATTCGAAGTCCAGATTTATCATCCTTTAACTTCCCGCTTGACCAATTAGGCGGTACAGGGTCCTACCTGCGGGACACTTATTTTTGTGTCTTTTTCACCTGGCTTCTGATCTCAAGGCTTCTACTGCACATGTTCTTGTCTGGTATGCGCGGTTAGTTAATTTCTATATTTTTGCATTACTAGTTTAAGACCTCTTCCCGTCGGCTACTTTCTTCGGTAGGAATACCTTAAGTTTAATTGGCTAGTGATCCTACATGACACTGCATTGAGTATCCTCTTGCTATTTCAACAACTTCACCTGAGAGTCAGCCCATGCTGTTTGACGTGAAGCTAGTATTTCCTTGTTCCATATTTCTTTGGTTTTTATGTGGTTTCTGTTCACTCGGAAGTAACGCGCTCTTCCGTTTTTGTTTCACCTTGAACGGTTTGTAAAGTGCTTTACTGTGGTTTAATTAAACTCTAATAGTGGAGACATCGTTGCTACTTTATCATCAGTAGTTCACTCCGTGGCCAGTATAGGTGGGCTAGTTCTCAAAGCAGCATCCGTCAATCAACGCTTTCCGGGTTACATTCTCAGCTCTGGCTGATTCTGCGTGTATTACACAAACAAGCACATAACTGATCGGGGGGTTCCTTTCGGGACGCTTCATACCTCTACTTCTAGTGTGACCCTGATGGTGTTAATGGCCCAGCTACAACTGAAACTAACTTATGATCTAGATCAAGGTTATATGCCGCTTTATAAACAGTCGGTGAACACTCTAAAATCAGCTAAGGCTATGTGGTCTTGCAGCCTCCCCAGCAATTGCCAATTTCTCTAAGTCGTCGGACAGGCACCTTCTATACATTGTGCAACTTGGTTTTAAAACCGAGAGTAATCTAGTCCCACCTAATAGCAAACTTCAGCACGAGTTTGGTACCACTGTGCGTAAGTTGGAGCAACAGAGTGGTAGCTGTGGGACTCAAAGTCATCTCGAAGGTAATGGGACCATTTTGTTAGTGCATGGATATATGCAAGATGACAGAGTCAACATGTTACCCCTCATCCATGACATTTAGTTTTTGTGCCGTGCCCTCATTGCAATGTGGCCGTGAATCTTGTAATGATATTTGTGGTTAACAATTGGATAAAGAATAGAAGCGGGGCTCAAAGTGTAGTGTAAGCATACTAAACTAACATATTTGGTCAGGATAGGTGCATACCAATAAACCGTACTTTCCATTATGACAGGTTACCGCGTGTACATAAATCATCCTTGACAGATTTCACTATCTCGCTTTCTGATCAACCTTATCCTCTGGGCATCCTTGACTAGTGGTGTCCGTTTCCTACTTACATTTGCAGGAGGCCTACACCTAAAGCGAGGCTGTGGTCGGCTGAGGCTGCGCCACTCGCAGCTTTATCCGCACGTGTCCCATCTGTCTCGATTCCCCAGAAACACGCGCTGGGCACACGCGGAAAGAACCCACAACAGTTTTGGAGCTGATTCACATTCTTACGACATTGATACCGTCTGTCGACAGATGAACGTTCGCTGCAGTGCCTCACTGTCATAGTAACTCCCGGCTAACGCAAGTATAACGCACACCACAATCGTGCATGCCTATTTTGTATGCATTTGATTCGTGCGAGCTTGGTACCTGATGATCGTTCACCACTATAGCGTTAGCGCAAACGTTAGTACTTGGCTTACACAGCTCCGCAGCTGTCATGGTCCGTTACCACCGCCTGATCGACAGTGATTGGCGTTGTCCTGGGTTTGGTAGTTGTGTTACCCGTAAGCCATCTAAGTTTTAGTCATTCAACTTTTGGCGACTTTTTGTGATGATTCCGACAGATACCAGATAGCGGACCTTCTTACATCACGTGCTAACCGAATCAGTCCTCGATGAGCCAGTACCTTTGAGCAACGATAAGGGATTTTCCTCCATCAAACTTAGCGATTCGTCCCAAGAAATCGTTTAAACCTTCGGCGATAAAGTACTAAGAGTTGACGTACCTTCTGTGCACGCCACGCTTTAATTAACAGCCCTATTGACCGTAATGCGTTTGCCTGGGAATGCAGAACTGTCGGAATCCGCTAACACTGTGAAAATTTACAGAAAGGCTTAGCAAGGCGTGTGCGTGCCTTCTTACAGGATGCTGTCCTCAGGATAATTTTCGGATTATTCACAATGCTGAAGCAGTCACTCTGTGGTACTTGTTCCAAGATAGTCGGATACCGTGCAAATGCCCTCACGTGTGTTTTGTGCCAAGTTAAATACCACATTTCATGTGTTGGATTATCAGTTGAGCATTTTCATCGTCTTCGTGAGATCCAACACGATTTCGTTCAAACTATATGTGAAAATTGCCGAAACAAGATACAACCAGGAAAAGTAATGCCGACGTGTAAGCTTCGTCATTCCGTTGCGAACAGCTCAGTGTGTTTGGCCCAACAACCTAACCCTAGGAGCATTCAGGTTTCAGCTCAGTCTTCCTCCACTACCCGTGCAAACTCACCGACACGAAGTCCAACCGTTGTGCGTAGCCCAGTTGCACCTGGCATAACTTGTTTACCTTTGTTGTGTTCAACGGGCACAGATGTCCCAGCAGCTGAAAGTCTGAGTGCTGAAGATCAGTGGAAAGAACAAAGAACGAAATTACGAAGGGATATTGGGCGTTTAACTTCTGTAAGTCAACAGTTAGCCAAACCACGTGAGGCTGGTAGTGTACTTCGCCCTGCAAGGTCAACCTCGTCCGACCAGAGGCGATATAATCTCGTGATCTTCCACGTGCTGGAGTCCAGTGATCGGTCACCCCAAGTGTGTTACGATCACGATGTCAAGTTTCTACAGAGTCTAATGGACAGACTCCTCAACGCTGGTGAGGACTCGGTAAAAGTGAGACAAATTACCCGTCTTGGAAAGCAAGGTGATCAACAAAATCGGCCTATGAGAATCACTTTTGTGGACGAAGCCAGTCCAAGACTGATCATGTCCCGCCTAAGTAGGCTGAAAGGTTTGAAGATCCATGTTCGTCCAGATCTGGACGCAGTAGACAGGGAGCGGCTCAAGTCTGCCATCACTGAGCTGAGAAGACGTACTGGTGAGGGGGAAACAAATCTTCGTATCGTAAACTGTCGGGTAGTTTCCGACAATCTGCGAATCGGGATAAACAGGCTGCTCACACTACAAGCACGCCCGGCGGCTCCTGCTGCGGCCTGCGAGTGGCCTTCACAAACGTTTGCAGTGTTATGAACAAGCGCGATGAGCTTTGTTGTTTCGTTGCGTCTGAGCGGACAGACGTAGTAAGACTCGCAGAGACATGGCTGCATTTACAGTTACACACCCAAGAACTTGAACTCAACGATTACTCGTGCTTCCGATGCGATAGACTAAAATATGCCAACGGTAGTGTCTTACTTTACATCCGGTCTTCCCTGTATCATCATCATCATCATCAACAGCAGTACACCAGCCATTTGAACTGATGCTTCGCTGCCATACAACCATGAGGACCTATGAAATAAAGGAATAAGAAGAGGGGGAGAAGGGGGACTTACCTGAAAACCTTAATGCCCTAAGCAAACATTCAGAGTCAAGGCGCCTACACCTTGTGCAGACAACATTCCGTCACAAACAGCTGGCTATCGTGCAAAGATAAGGCGGCATCGGCGAGACAGCTTCCTTGCGGCTTTCACTGCCACGCGTCATAATCAGCCCTTACACCGCAGATAACTCAGCACCAAACATACTTTAAACAGACAATCCGATTAGGAGACGGCAGCAGACGCGCCACTGGTGTCGGTTGCGAGCCATGTCCTGCAAAGTCTCAAGCCAAGCACAAGGTGAGTCACGTGGACTCCAACCCGGAAGGCGAGACGCACCAACGGCACCCAGTTTAGTTGTCAGTGTCTTCATTTCCCGCTGTTAAGTCAACTTCTGTCCACCTCGAGCCTTGCGCCATCCTACACCTGGTAGACTGAACAAGGCCCTCCTAGGTAAGCGGTGACCAGGCATGCGTAGCACGTGCCCGAGCCAACGCAACTTAGTTAGTGCTATCTGTTGTTCTAGGGAGCTAGCATGATTATCACCACCTAGTACTCGCCTACGCACATCATCGTTGCGGACACGCTGGTGCCATCCGACACCAGCAATGCTTCGCAAACAACGATGATCAAAGACTTGAAGGCGCCTCAGATCTTCAGACCGAAGGGGCCAAGTTTCACTAACATAGAGCAGAACGGCCCTCACTGTGGCCTTGTATACACGGCCTTTCAGACGGAGAGAAACTCCCTTCTGTCGCCAAAGATGACGCAGGTTCAAGAAGGTAGCTCTGGCTTTTGCATTGCGTGAGCCGACGTCAGATTCTATGCGCCCATCATTGCTGATGCAGCTGCCAAGATAAGTGAATTGATCAACCACCTCGAGTTCCTCGTTAGCAAGCGTCAAGGGGTTATCAAGTGGCTGGTGGTCCTGCAGCAACACTTTGCACTTTGAAGGTGCGAAGTGCATACCATATAATGGAACCACTCTGGATAGGATATTCAGGGTTGACTGTACCGCATCAACATTGTCGAAAAGCAAGACGATATCGTCCGCCTAATCTAGATCAACTAACCTTTCACCAGACAGCACTTCAACGCCTACATCATGAGATTCCGCAAGGGAACACTCCATGATAGAATCCACTACGAAATTGAACAGCAACGGGGAAATCGGA